ACACATCAACTCTGAGGACAAAATGTTCACTTTCTAATATATCCCACCCACTGACAGGAGCCATGATAACCAGATAATCAGTGTTATTTACTTCAACTGTCAGTGCTCATAATGTTATGGCTGATCAGTGTGTGGTACATGTACCACTGGTGGCTGCCTCTAGTGGTAGCTAAGTGGAGGAAAAAATGCAAAATTTAGAATAAAAATATACTTCTAAAATGTAAGTTAAAGTTTCCTGTAATATTTTGTTTCAACATCAGTCTCCCAAGTATTCACATAAAAGTAGCATGCATATACATCTATGATTAGTTACGAGCTAAAGTGTGATGGTAAGATAGTAAGCAGAGGAGTACCCCCTTTTCCACCAAATTAGTTAATATTATTAGTTAAATTAATTAATAATCTTCTTATTAGGAATAAAGTTGCCTCCTGCATGAACTGTCTGTAGCTGAACAGGGTTGTAGGTCATAATCGTCTAATATTTTCTGAGATGTAAAAAGGTGTAAAAAGAAACACTGCCTCATTGTATATTAATGAGAAAGGTATGACTGAAACACAAAAATACTCAATGAAAAAAACAATTATTTTATTCATGATACCCATATATTTGCATACACATACTCTGAAATATATTAACATTTAAGATCTTAGATATAGTGAATACAAATATCCCCAAAACCATGTATACTGTCATATATATGCAAGATAATAGAGCATTTCCTAAATTATTTCTGCATTCATATGTTAGATGTCTGACCCAGGTACTGTACAGTTAATAAATATGGCCTATTTCATTCATTTATGTCCTTCTCCATACCCTGAGCTAAAATGTATTAGAATTACAGCAACATAAAGTGGAATAACCATAGTTTGTTCAGTTTAAAGTGCACACTGAAATATATATATATTTAAAAATATTTGACAAAGTATTGTTTTACCTGCTGATAAAGCTGTTCAGGTATCATTGCTTTATAAAATCTGGAAATAGCTCATGAATGAAATAGTACATCCAGATTAACTGCTGAATAAATACAGTATGTCACATTACTTTACACGTATCCCTCTTTGATTCATTTACAACTTATCCAAATGCAAAATGGGAAATAAAAATAAAATAAGAGCATCCATCCAGATTGTCTGTTATGGAAAAACAAAAACAAAAAAAACAAACCATCTTCTTAAAATAAAAAGGCTTACAACAATGACGTGTAACAAATTCTCATGTATAAAATCTTGAGGAAAAAACTGTGCTTTTTCTGAATATCCACAGAAATAGCCATCTTGGAAACCCCAAATTGCACCGGACTGCTGCTGTAGAAATAGAAATTGGCTTTCATTCTCAGGAGGCAGAAAGTACGAAGTATTATGGAAGTTAGAGTTTTCCAAGTTTGGATTCTAAAGCCTCTGTCACTACCTGCAAAATGTGAGAATCAGCTGCAGTGAGTGTGGCTGTTGCCGTACCCAGCGGTATCTGCAACATACATTAGATACAGGATGAGGGATTCGTTTGATGGCTATTACTATACTATACTGCTAAATAGATACAACACAAATCTCAAAAAATACCTTGTAAAATGTTATTTCAAATGGCAAAACTATCAAAATCGTCCTTACACACGTGCAGGCTTGGATCATCTTCTCCTTTAAAATGGGTCTAATATTCATACATCAGCGAAGGACTGGATTTTTAAGATCTGTTGTACTTGAATACACAGTCCTGACAACAGACATCCATACATGCCAAACTCCTGGGTCCTTCTATTTTATGGCTATTTAATAATGCACATTATCACTTTTTAGTGAAACCAGTATTCCACACAACCGAGCTCAGCTGCTCTTCAGAAGAAACATTGGAGAAAAAAAAACTGTACATTGCTTTGTCCCTTTGTAAATTTCAGTTTTCACAACTTTCCTGAAAAGTAAACAAATAATTTAACAACAACTCCATGACAAAACAGATCAGATATTACATAACAATATAAATCACTACTGTATGTGCTTGCCTAGTCAACAAACTCGAGACAAAAGGTGGAGACGATATAGCAAAGACACAAACACAAACGTTTCCTTTTGAGATCATTGACGCGGTGTCTCCACAACAGAACGAGATAACGAATGAGGGAGAGGAATGATTAAGAGATCTATGACCTTTGAAAAGACCACAAGTGTTGCTAGTCTGAGATGTGCTTGTCGCCACGTCGTTGCTGGGTTGAACACAGTGAGATCAAAACTGTGAGGACGGGTGTTACCTGCGTGACTTTTCCCGAAGCTGCCATGTGTAAAGCACTCCTGTGTACTCATTTGAGCTTCCACGCCGTATTTTAAAACAGTGTCACTACACCGCTGTGCTCATCGCCGATACAAGTGAAAGTCACAGTGTCTCGTTGTGTTTTGTGTCCCCTGTGTGCATTGTGCGACTGCTCCCCCCCCCCACTCTCTCTCTGTGCCTCGCCTACTTATACAGTAGTGGGATCTGGCTGTTGTGACAGTGGTTGCGGCTCATCTTGCTGTCAGCCGGGTAGAGGTTGGAGGAGTTGGAGAAGGAAGGCGGGAGGGAATGATTGTCCGTCGTGGGGTTGGGGTAGCCAGGCGGGGGAAGCAGAGACTTGGGATCCGGCTGGGATGAGGGTAGCGGGGCGTTGTGGTTCTGATTCTGGCCTATGGAGGGTCGGCGGCGGTTGCGTAGAGCCTGTCGCTCAGCCAGCTGGTTGCGCAGCGCTGATACCCTCTCTTCCTTCTGCAGAGACAACAAGAGGAGAGTTAGCTTTAGCATTTATACGCTTTTATGCGCATTTATAATTGACAACTGTCTAACAGTCATTCGAAAGAAGATTAATTGGCAAGTTTTTTGATATAATTGGTTCAGTCACTGAAGCACAAATGCCAATTTGCTGGTTCCAGCTTCTGAAATGAGGATTTGCTGGCCAACTATGACAGTAAATGAAATATATTTTGGAATGTTGGTTGGACAAAGCAAGACATTTGAAAACGTCACTTAAGGCTCTGGGAAATGACAATGTATTTGGCATTTTATAGATTAAACAATTGATTTATCGTGAAAATAATTTGCAGGTTAATCGATTACAAAAATAACCTCTGATTGCATATATATATATACATATATATTTTAGTACGTAGTAGTAATAAGTAAGCAGATATAAGTGTTTATCAATGTAATTGTCAGCAACTATATCTCTATCTATAACCAGATGATGAGTTTTCTTGCCTCCATGACCCCTAACCCTGCTCTGCTTTCACACTGTTGTTAGAATGTATGTGTGAACACTTGAGCACAACTGAGGTACAACTATCTTTACAAACAACAACGAAGTAAAAACAAGCACCCCGCTTCTACTACCCTTGTAGGAAGAAAATACTGCATTGTATTCTTTTCATATGCGGCAACTCTGGTAGCCAGTCTGTAAATTATGGTCCATACGCCGAACCTCCTGCCTAGCATAACCGCTGTATGAAGCCATTCACAGTTTTACAGCAGAAGGATCTCCTCGAGCAAACAAGTGAAGGCAATATTTTGCAGCATTCTCTGTTACCGTATTTACATTTAAATCGCACATATACACACATAAAAACATAAGACTATACATGTTATCTGTATAATGAATGCAAATAAATACATAAATATGTATTACCTATATATCCATATATGCATTATACAACGTCGGTCTCCAGGATGAACTAAAATGTTAACTAATATGGAAATGTATATTATGTGTCTGGCATTTGGATGTTTAGTGTTAAATATTAATATATGTGTGTGTGTGTGTCTGTTTAATGTGAAGTATCTAGTGTCTTCACCTCCTGGATGATCTTTTGCAGTTCCCTGTTCTCTCTCTCCAGCTGCCTGGATTTCTCCTCGTCATTATTGTTGGTGGACGAACCGGTCTTCAGAGTGTCCTGCTGCTCCGACTGCCACTCGCCGCGGGTGATGAGACGCCGCATCTGGATCGCCACAGGAACAGGAAGTCAATAAAGAATACAATCAGGCCTGACAGTGCAGCCAGTGTTTCATTACTGAATGAATAATGTATCTACTGAGAACACCTGATGAGAACACATTTTTAATATTTGCAGCTTTTAGCCACATCTAAAACACTTTGATTTTGTTTCATCTTGGCGCTCGCTGCTGGACAGTTTCTGCACTGCGCTTCTAGAAATAGCCAGACAATCAAACAGTGGTGACGATACTGTGATGGGTTTCTTTTTTTTTCAGTTAATAAAGTTTGAATTTCTGTAGGTGGCACTCTTTCCTCTGCACAGTCTGCAGCAGCGCTCATGTGCTCTACCCAGCTCTTCTATTTATTCCAAACAAATGATTATAGCTGCTGCCAGACATGTGAAATGTCTCACTTTTATTGTGCCAGAGGATTCTTTCCGTAACACCAAATGTTTACAGCAGCTACCCATCTAGAAGCTTGTTATTATTACAGTAACTATTTATATTGAAACTTCACAGACTATTAACGTAATGGTGCATTCACAAACGGATTAAAGATTTGATCAGTTAAGTTAACTTCTTATTTGATGTCACAGTCAGTCCAAAGACCAAAGCATGTTTTGATGATTTTTAAATGCAAAGCTATCGGACTGAACAATATGAAGTTTCAGAAGTTTGTTATTTTCTTGCACCAAGCAGTACAGTCTGTACTTTCTTCCTAAAAACACTGAGACCTGCAAGTTGGACCTTTGGTTTTGCTGTAATACGATTGTACATTTCAATGTGTGCAGTAGTTCGTAAGGATGTCAGTAACGAGTCAGAGCACCTTGGGTACAAAAAGCACCACCAGAGTAATGTAGGCAGAGAAGACGATTGCTAGAGAGGCAAAGGCAAAGGAGGCATCCTGCTGCGAAGACAGGATCATAGTCACTGGAGCCGTGATCAGGCACAACACCTGCAAGAAGACACAGACAAAAGTGAAAAGAAAGAGAGGTTGGAACAAAGGAAGAGAAAGAGGGAGGTTTAAAATAAAGAGAAAGAAGGAGGCGGCAAGGGGGGTTAGGAGGAGGTGGGGAATAGAGTGTTAGAGTGAGAGTGAGAGTATGAGAGGGGAGGAAAATCACATCCATAAAAGCATTAGGCATCTGTTTATCATTCCGGGGAGGGCTCCCATGTGAAAACAGCATTAAAAAGTCATGACTGAAGTGGCAACAGCACGCTGACAATCACCACATTGTCATCTCATCAGGGCCTGGAGCTCACAGCTTAGCAAAGAGGAAGGAGGTCCCTTTACAGACACCATTAACTATTGACATCATCATAAAATTGAGATGTGTATATCATAACATAAAATAATAACATTAGACTTGTCTCACATTATGGAGCCATGTGATGAAATGAGCACGCAAGCTGCATTTAATGCTCTTATAAATAACCATGAACGATGATCAATGATAAATCCTCTTCTTGACGGAGGAGGCGAGATCAATCCATTTACTAATTACATATCCACAAAGTATAAGCTGATAAATGTTTGGGTGCTCATTAAAAATGCTTCCTCTTTTATTCATTAATGGGAATCCAGTCAGGGACAGGAAATTCTGGCAAAAAGGCTGTTAAAAGACTTGCAAAAAGAAAAAAAAAGAAGTTTGCCTGCTTTTGATCAAAACAGAAATCGTGATGTGACAGAAACCACTTTTTCCAGACATTTTACATCAATTACAAAGTTACCCTGTGTCAAGGGTGTCAGGAAATGCCATCGACTATTTGTCTAAAGTGGCTAAAGTGAACATAATGGCAGCTATTTCAGTATAAAGTGCATCCTAGGTGCCTCGGTTTGAGATGATTCACTTGCTATTAAAAGCCAGTGAAAAATGTTTATAGCTGACAGAAGCGTTTACCACTGTACTTTAGTGCCTAAATGGGTACATTTTTAAACCTATTCCTGCCATAGGGCAAGGTAACAGCTCCATACAAAACACTGCTATGTACTGTTATCTCTGGCTTTAGTGTAGCATATATATATGGGAAGAAATCTGTGCGCAAAGTACAGAGGACTCAGTTACAAAATGAAGGTATGCTTCAGTTGCATGAGATTGCGGTACAATAAAAGTTTGTGATGCACCCTTTCATATTTTATAGATTTTATTTAACATTTATTTCACCAGGAAGTCCCATTGAGAACAATTTCATTTTATAAAGGAGACCTGAGATATAACTGTTGGTATCATAGCACCACAGGCACCATAAGCATCAAAATTTATGATTCATACAAGACAGCAGCTTGTGCTGGCAGTATACTGATTTGGACAGAAATGCATCTAGGGATCTGCATATTAGAGAATGAACTCTCAAGATATAAGAAGAGGTTTGAATATTTTATATACAAGTCGGTTTTGGTGTCTCGTGATGCTCCAACAAGTCATTATATCAACATGCACTTTTCAGTATTTTATACAAAATCATTAATTTGTGATGTTTAGCACATCCCAAGGGTTGTTTTGAGAGGAAAATTTGTCATTTATATTCAGTTGTGCCCACAATGGACTTTTTCCTGTATGATTTTTGAAGATCAATGCAAAATGGTGAACCTACAAACCTTGGAACAATATAATTTATACACTCCATTGGAGCCGCACAGGAAGTATTTAAATGTGATGTTCTGCCACTTATCTCCTCAAATAAGGAAAATACACCACAGAGGCATTAAGGGAGAATCACGTTATCTATGAACTCCATTAACTTTTATAAACTGCAAAGAGTAACCCCTTGAGGATGCAGCTTTTAAGCCCTTGCAGCTGAAATGTCTTGACACGCTGGTCAGTTGCTTGGTTTGCTCTTAAATCAGCAGAAAAGTCGCTTCTGGAAGCCAGAAATCTCAAAACCGGACAAAGTAATCATGGAGGCACTGGCACTGATTAACCCCCCCAACAGGTATACTGCGCCCATTTTTTGCTATGGGGCAATAAAAATCTTACTTATTACCACTTGAATGTTATTCAGCGTGCTACAGAATGGTCTTTGCAGAGAAAGCAAAACAGCAGAAAGCAGACAGTGGCACCCAGAAACAGGAGTTCAGGCATGACCGTGTTGTTTCTTTTTTGGACTCACAGCAACGTTGTAAATAGCCATCCCTACAGCCCGATGGTCATTGATCTTTTCTGTGGAGACAGACTTGGTCTCGTAAGCCAGAAATATGCCCAGCAGCAGCAGCAGACCCTTGTAGCCATAAACCACACCTACAGACAGAGAGAAACAGTGAGAGAATGAGTGAGCAGCAGCCATGAACATGAAAATTATATGATAATAATATAAGTAGAGCAGAGATTATGTATACAGTGTCATTTTATAAGACAAAATTATAGCTGGAAAGCTACAATTTGAAACTGAAAGCATAAAAATGGATCCCTGATTTTTTTTAAATATAATATAAATAAGTCTATGTTTTGTTATGTTTTCATTCTAGACTTCAGTATTCAGCTTTTTTATTTACAATTTTGTCTTTTAAATTGACAAAATATTTAGCCCCATGAGTCTCCATATTGGTAAACTAGATACTGTGACTGTATTATTACAGTTACAGTAAGATCTTAACTGAGGTAGGCAAGTAGTTAAACAGCAGAGCAACTCCAATCTTCCCAAACACCTGTTAATTTTTCTAAATAATATTTTGGACCAAGATATTACCCAGCAGAGGTACTTGAAGCAACACAAAGAGTGGCTATCTAACTTGCACACACTCATTTACTATGACCTCCTTGATGAATTTCAGGGTCACGCCATTGATTTTAAATGTCAAAGTCAATTTAATAGTAACAGGGAGATCTACACATCCTGTGAAAACAGATTCTGCAGAGGCTTTGGAGGGAGCTTTTTAAAGGCTTAGAAAATGAGACTGTGACCCCATCTGGATTGGACTTGGAGACTACAAATTCATAACAGAAAGCCTGCACTTCAAACTGGGAGCGTTAAATTTGAAAGATGTGGGCGTTTATCAGACAGGGTCAGTTGCATTATAGGAAATGTAGGCTCTAGTACCATTCCAGGGACTAAAAGTCAGAATAGATTGGCCTCTGCTGCATCAATTTTTACCATCCATTTTTTTTTAAAGGAAGGCAATGTCAGTCCACCACTTTGGTCCAGACTGAAATATCTGAACAACTATAGGATGGATAGCCAGGAAATTTGGTAAAAACATGTCCACCTCAAGATGAACTGTAATAACTTTGGTGACTTTTCATCTAGCACCCTCATAAGGTCAAACTTTCAATATGGCTTATGACTAAATACCTGCAAAACATGTAATAATCCCATCATCCAATCCAATCAGCTGTACTTTGTGTTTAATGCTAATTAGCAATGATGTAACTTCACTGCTAGGTGAAAGGAGTAAATCCTACACACTGGTCCTTTAACAAAGCACCACTGTGTACCTAAGTACAGTGACACAGAGCTGCTAGCATGGCTGTAGACTCTTTGTCTTGTTATTAACAAAACATCCCTCTTTCAAGTGCCACAAGTGTCGTGCTGGAATGCAACTTTAATTTATTGCTTCAAGACCTATAAAACATACTCATTATGGGAATTTGCCAATTTATGGGATCATGTAAATGACTATTGCTTGCTTCTAGTGTACAAAATAGTAACACTGTTAACAGTTCAGTGTGGCCACTGAGGGAGTAAATGAGTATGAGTTGTGCAGAAGGAGAAAACCAAAAATGTAGATACAATAGATGGTTGAATATGTTGAAAGCCAGTCAGAGTCAGGCTGACTGACAGAGAAAAGAGAATAGAACCGTGAAAGAGAGAGAGAGGCAGGGAAGAAAGAAAGAAAGAAAGAAAGGAGAATCTGTGACTGAGTAAGTCCGACACTTCTTCAGAGTGTCCATTGTTTCTTTATACCGCCTGATATTAAAGCACCATCTTTTCTTCTGTGAGAAAGGAAATGCTATGGGGCAATGGCCCAGTTTGTGACCCACATTATTTGAATTTCAGCACCATTATACTTTTATAAGAGCTGCCACACTAAGAAAGACAGCAGAGAGACAGACAGGGAAAGAGAGGGACTGCGTGGGCCGACAAAGAGAGACGCAAAGAGGGAAAAAAGCGAGAGAGAAAAGGATTTCAAACGTAAGGGGTGGCGGGGGCTGAGGGAGGAGGCTGTGATATGAGACCTGTTTAATTCAGAGTGAATGGCAGTGACGTGTGTGTGTGTGTGTGTGTGTGTATGCATATGTATCTGCATATGTCCATGTGTGACAAAGATAGTCAAAACTAATGCAGGGCAAAGGGTGACGAAGAGACAGATCGAGATGTGAGAGGACCAATACCGAGCCACGTATTCATCTTCTCTGAGCTGCAGTGCTCCAACAAGGGCTGAATCAGGACATCCAAATCTTCTTTAGGGGCCTCCTTAGTGAACTTCTACTCACACCGCAGACGGGAGAAAAGGGGAGAGGAATGGAAGGATAAAGAGATAGAGGACAACAGAGAGAGAAGGGGGAGATAATAAGAAACGATGAGACAGCAGCACACTGGAGAAGGAGGCAAAAATGCACAGTAAGCAAAAGCCCTAGAGACTTGCACGGTTGATCCCCTCGGGTAAAATGTGTCTTTCCTGTAAGTCAGATATAGATGACTGAATTTTAAGAGTATCAGATATTCAATAAATATAAAATATAGCTATTAAAATATTCCATCTAAGGTAGTAGAGTAGTAAGTCAGTGCTGTGGAGATTAGAGCTCTTGATCCTACAGAGGTTTAATGCACTTAATGAGGACAGAGTACAGCTTAATGAGTGCAGGCTACATGCACATCAGTATCTTGGTTTTGTGTCTTAACCAGGTTTTGATCATACTTGTGAATAAATAATATAACAGTATCCAGTACACTACATGCTTGCACACATGGAAACTAGAGATGTTCCTATACCATTTCTTCCTTCCGATACCGATTCCAATACCTGAACTTTTGCGTATCGGCCGATTACAAGTACCAATCCAATACATATGCAAACAGATACATTATTTTTTAAGTGTAGCCTGAATGATTTCTATCGTTGCTATATGGCCTGGCTGAGGTTAAACCCTTTGTCAAAGAAAGTAGAGCCGGTTATAACTTTGCTATCTTTGAAAAAAAGTGGCAAAGTAGCAGTCCCCGAAATGCGTACTGCATTTTAGGCAGTTTTGGATGAATTTCTGATACTGGTGTCGGAATTGGAACAACTCTCATGAGAACACACTCACTGTAAGTCATTTTGGAAAGTAATGCAATGATGATTGAAAATGTTCCACATATTAAAGGTACCCTTGGGAGTTTTTGCCCACTAGTGACACTGAGTGACAGTGAGCACAAACGGAAAATGCAATCTTCAGATCATTAAAGCAGCTATACATGATTTTTTTCATGTTAACAAAAGACTACATGTGTCACTTGTAGTGTTAAACCCACAGAGAATTATCACCTGTGTAGTTCTCATGAGCTCCCAGTCTGCCTACCATAGATACCATACGTGTATAATGGGTACAAGTGTTTTGTTTTGTTTTTTTAACGACTGAACATGAATATGAAGAGCAGCTCCCACTGGACTCTATCTGTTGTATCTTTTCTCAACTGTGAGTGCCAACAGTGAGCATGTGAGACCCTTGATTCAGTGTTAATATTGAAAATATGGATATGTTAATGGCAGTAAATGCCACAGGGTACCTTTAACTGTACTTATAGTGCTTACACTATCAAACATAAATAAATATAATTATTCAAGTCATAAATGTCATTGTTACAGTACTGCTTTTCTGCTGTGCTTTGTAAAATTATATGATATTTATCCTTGTTTTAAATTGCACTTTATGAGGGTAAGATGAATCAGACTGAAAGAACATTTCTACAAACGAGGCCCGGTGTCTCATTACTGTGTTATTGACTGATGACAGCGGCTGCACGGTCTCTGCAAATGGGCGATGACATACAAATTATCTCATCTGTCTTTCGTACTCTACCTCAACCGTAATGTGCAGAGGATCCACAATCTGCCAGATCATGAGTGACAGGAAGTCAATAGCCAGCAGCACTCCAACTGTTGCGTAGAGTTTCCATGGCTCCAAGTGTTGCTGTGTGAGTTTGAGCAAAGACACACACACACACAAACAAACACACAAACACATACACAACAGTCATCACTATCCAAGGGCATCACGAGCCAGTCCACAAACAAAGACAAACAACCAGGACAAATAATACGACAGGCGTCCTTGTGATTTCTGGATGACTGGGCGCGAATTGTCTTTCTGAATGTGTGTGTCTCTGAGTGTGTGTACAAATGTGTGTCCAAGTATATTTTAGGAGCAGTGGGAGTTTGATTGTGTGTGTGTGTGTGTGTGTGTGTGTGTGTATGTGTCTGCAGGCGACTCACAGAGAGCTGCAGTAACTATATTTGTGCTGCCACCTGAAATCATCATTTATACACACTAAGATGACACTGCTTCTGTGTGGACAGTTTCCGAAGCAGCTGATATCTACTTTATTATTCTTAACTTAAGCTATAATGGAAACAATACAGCCGTAACCAAAAACAAGGAACCAAAATGAGCTCTCCTACTGTGCTCCCCCTTCCTCTTTCCACACTTTTTTTTTTTATTCGACCACGCTGGCTTACTCCCAGCACCTCCAACATAGTAACAGCTATTCAAGCGTGCAATATCTAAAACTGAAAAATAAAATAAAGAAGAAAACACATTACACAGTCTTGAGCGCCTCTTCACTTGAGTTGCATGAAAAATGATTTGAAAAGCGCTCATTCTCTCCTCGATTTGTGAAAGTTTCTTTAAATACTCACGCAGAGCTCTCTGGCAAAATGCCCTTCTGTGGACATGAAGAGAGTTGAAAGTCAACCCGATTCGTTGTGCTTTGGCTCAAATAATAAACCCCCCGAAGGTTGGATTTCTGCATAGAACTTTAATACTCATCCATATTCATAAATATTCCATAAATGGCTTAATCTCTTATTCTTCTGATTAGGTCTTAGAAATTCCCACAACACATCGCAGACTGGCAGTATCAAGCTGGCTCCAGGATACACTATCTTCAAGGGGAGGCACACACACACACCCACACATAAAAACACACACCCCCGCTCCTCAAATCACCAGCATGCAAATAAAGCTGATGACGAAGCTATCAGGGTCCTGCTTATGTGTGTTTCTGTCCCCAGAATTTGCCCGTTTCTATGCATAAATGTTGCATGTGGGTGTACTGGTGCATGTGCTTTGTGTGTGCATGCGTGAAGTACAGTATCTATGTCAGTGTGTGTCCAACACCCTTATCCCTGCACCCTCGCTACGTCCCCGCCACAGCGAATGATGCAGAGTTGGCCTCTTAGAAGCTTATGTTACTAGGAAGCCTGCAAAGTTTTTAACGGAACTTTTTTATCAGCCGGCGCCACACATGCTGCGTGGCCTGGCCTCTCTCTCCCATCCTTTCTCTACTCCCCTGAGACCGCTGAGAGGCTTATCCCTCCCTCCCATTCTGCCTCCCTACCTTCTTCTTCTCCTTCTTTTCCTCCTTCTTCGTGAAGAGGGTGTGCACCCACCAGATCTTGGTGAACATGCTGCCGTACGC